CAGAAGGTCAAGACACAACTGGCGAGGGCCAGAGCGAAAGCTATCCCATCCGGGGAGTGAGTGACCGAGTCCTGGTTGCGTTGACTTGAGTAATCCCAACATGGGAGTACTTCTTTTGCTGCCCCTAGAGGCTTACTGAGACCAGCTGTATTGCGCGGTCTACCAGCTAGCCCGTGCAAAAGTTTCACGGGTGTGAGATAGTGCGTGTGTCGCGTGTTTATGTGCGCCACACGCCGCCGTTTGACCTCTAGGGGCATTTTTTGCCATTGCGCTAAAGCGCATCAGAATCACAGGGGCCGATGCCAAATACCGTTCTCACATCCCAGCCAAAAGCGTCTATGAACACACATTGGGTGCCGTGACTTCCATCGACACTCTCGGGGTGGATACGTCTATGGACTACATGGCCGTTGCGCTCGGTGCGGTGCAAGGTCGGAGAAAAAGGGTCAATCCGTCAACGGTATGTTCCTGTTCTAGAGCAGGTGCCACATGCTATTCCAAGTCAGAGTATGTGCCGCTTGCGCAAAAACTTTCAAATGCACTGGCGCCACTGACCGCAGCAAAGAGCTGACCCGATCATGGCAGGGGGCCTGCGGTCTTTCGAGGCGTCAGGTCGATTGGCGGTTCCTGGAATGCGGCTCCCTCTGGCAATGCCTTGCCGCTGCTGGGCGAGGGAGTGGGTCAGGGTTTCTAGAAGGCAGGGGTGGACCTAAACTATGCTTTGGCGACTTCGTGGGCCGTTTTCTCTTCGATTTCGTTTAGCAGTAAAGGTGGATTGGCGACAAAACGAGGGACAACGAAAGCAACACAATGACGAAAAACGCTCTTTAGGTCGATCCCTCCTAAAAGGCAAACCTATTTCTCGTGAGGTCCGCCCGGGGTTCTCGGGTCGGCGTTTGATCCCCCCTCTCGGGGAAACTTAACATTCGAGTGCGCCGGGACTCGGGTTAGCCGACGTTTTTTAACGAGCGCGTTCTCGATTTTGAAGGTGCAGTTGTTGTGGGATGCTTGCAGCGGGAGCTCGCGTCAAATTTCAGATTGGGTCTCGTCATTTCTATGATGGCCCCGTCAGGCCAACCCGAGTCCCCCGAACCCGAGTCTTACGTTTCCCGATCCTCTCCCGCTCCCGCTCCTTGGGCGCGCGGAGCCCGCGGGGGTCGCGACGCCCGAAGCGCCGCCAGGGGTGTGGTGGGGAGGGGGAGATCGGCGCTGGCCCGAGAAAGAAGCTTCGCGGCTCTCGGAGGTTTCTGGTCTGTGCCGTGCTCTGTTTTTCTCCTCTTCGTCCTCCTCCTTCATTCCTTTTCCTTATAGATAACATGTCCCTGTCGCAACCCCGAGGCCGGTTTTTAGAGCGGGCTGGGCGTTTCGCTTGAGACTTCCTTCCATTGATGATTCTGAAGCTTAAAAAGTGGCAACAGTTTCACAGAAGGAGGGCGGGAGGTTTTCAAAATGGGGCTCTCGCCTTCGCGCCGCGCACGTTCGATTTAATGCTTTGCAAGAGCTTCACGGATTGAGGGCTGTCGTTTTCAAAATGTGGCTCTCGCCTTAGCGCCGCAATTGCAAGAGTTTCACGAATCGAGGGCGGCTCCTTTTCAAAATGTGGCTCTCGCCTTGGCGCCGCGCACATTCGTTTTGGAACATTACAAGAGTTTCACGGGTTCCCATGATCAACGTACCAGAAATGGTGTTTTGGAAAGATTCAGGGTTATTCGGGTGCAACAGTTACGTTAATCCGCGGTGCTGAAGTCCCCAAACTGGCGTTCTGGCACGCTTCAGGATTTTCAAACGGTTGTCTTCCAACGATGCAGTTCCCTCAATGGAAATGAACCGTTGTAGGGGCCTCCGAAGAGGGAGCTTGGAGGGAGGGTTAATTCCAGCATCGTTGATGACTCTTGGGTTTACACAGGTCCTACTCCTCCCGCTCCTCCTGCTCCTTCTCCTCCTCCTGCTTCTTCTGCTCCTCCTCCTCCTCCTCCTCCTCCTCCTCCTCCTCCTCCTCCTCCTCCTCCTCCTCCTCCCCCCCCCATCTCCTCCTCCTCCTTCATCTCCTGCTCCTCCTCCTCGTCCTACTCCTCTTCCTCTCTGGTTGTGGAGGGCCAAGCCTACCTGCTTCTGGAAGGCCAACCTCTGGGGCCGATGCCAGATTCCGTTCTCACGTCCTAAAGTCCTGGCCAAGAGCGTCTATGGACACATTTGGGTGCCGTGACTTCCATCGATACTCTCGGGGTGTATACGTCTATGGACAACGTGGCCGTTGCGTTCGGCGCGGTGCAAGGTCGGAGACAGGGTAGATTCGTCTACGGTATGTTCGTGTTCTAGAGCAGGTCTCACATGGTACTCCAACTCTGGTTTCGTCTCTTGGGTGGAGTGCGAGGCAGGACGGACGCCATGTACAAGGAGTGGTCTGCGCCCAGCAACCACCAGGTGGACCAAGCCGCGCTGGCCCCTCTCGAGTCTACCCAAAGGATGGTCCTGCACAGCGCTTGACAAAGGGTGATCATCAACCTCATACCGCTTGCACGTCGAGCGACGGCGAACGCGAGTGTGAGTCCTCGCCATGCAAGGGCGGCGTTTTTGGACATGTCGCGGGAGTCTCACGACTTGGCCAACACAGCGTGGGCCACGAGCGAGATACGTGCTGTGCGTTGCCTTGCTAGTCGAGATCCTGCTGTTTCTATGGCTACGTGGAGGGTGGACTCGACCCTGGGCAGAGATCGCAGCGTCACGCGGGTGGGCCTTTCGACGAGAAGGGCGGGTTCCTCCTTCTTCAGTGCCCGCACCGCCGGGACGATCCCTGGCCTCGGTCATTCCTGGCTTCGCTCTTCTCACAGGCCTGCTCCAAGGGGTGCTCGGCAGTCTGGAGGGTCAGCCCGCAGGGGTGCTGCACGGGATGCGGGCTCCGACGGCAGTTCGCCCCGCGATGCCCGACGCCTTGCCGTCCACGTGCGAATGGCCGCATGCGCCGACTCACTCCCGACTCATCACGAGCGGGCGTCGCCCCACCATACTGGTGTACGGAATGTGCGTCGCCCCCCCAGGGGCGACGCGCGCAGCGTGAGCTCCTGCAGTCGGGGCCCCGAAGAAGGAACCCTTTTCGTTGGGGAGGGGCTCCGTGTTCCTTGATTGTTTTACAGTTTGCCTCGGGTTTTCCATGGGAAATCGAAGTTCAACTTATGGGAAAAAGGGGCCTCGTTCCTTATTCAGGGTTCCTTGGGTCAACGCCCCGGCTGTACAGCATGGGCGTCGTGGCGGTCGCTTCCTGACCGCAACGCTCGGGAAGCGACGTGCCGCAACGATTTTTGTGTGCTGTATGCTCGGGGTCGGACGTCCGCCTCCGAGGAGGACATGCTCGCAGCACTTGCATGCCCTTTGTGCGCCCCGCCGGAGGCGCGCCGGTGGCGTCCCCGCCGCGCGTCGCGCGGAGGAGCACGCGGAGGAGACATGAGGAGGAAGAGGACGAGGAGGAGGAGGAGGAGGAGGAGGAGGAGGAGGAGACATGAGGAGGAAGAGGAGGAGGAGGAGGAGGAGGAGGAGGAGGAGGTGGTCCCGCACGGGTTCGGGGTGGGGCCTGGCGTGAAATGCCCGAGGCGGAGGTGCATCCACGACCACGGCCCAGGGGGTCGACCTTCGGGGGCCGCGGTGGTCGTCATTGCACTGGCGAAGACGTGTCCGTGTCCGCGGCCTCGCGGGCAGGGCCCCTGGGCCGCGACCCCGCGGGTGCGGGGCGCTCTTGTCGGGGGAGCGTAAGACCCGGGTTTGCCAGGACTCGGATTCGCCATTTTTTTGTTGACGACCGCGACCCGGATTTTGACGAGGAGGAGTTTCGTGGGATGTCTGCAGCGGGAGGCCTCGTCAAAATGCAGGCTCGGCCTCGTCATTTTTTCGACGACCTCGTCGGGGATTTCCGAGTCCCCCGTACCCGGGTCTTACGTCTCCCCGATCTTGGCGCGCACGCCCCGCGCGGAGCGCGTCCGTGCGACCGCACATCTGTGGGCTCGCGCCCGGGGGATGCAGACCGTGAGGGCGGGGATGCGGACATGTGCGTCGCTCACGAATGCGGGGACTCTTGGGGCCAACGCGTATCCACATTCGCCGCCCGCTGGGGAAACGATAGTCGTCGGTCCCCCAGGCGGTGGAGATGGACGACTCTCCGCCTCGCATGCTGCTCGCCCCTGCGGGGCAGATTCTCATCGAGAACAACAAACCCCTAACCCTGATGACGCGATGAAGACGTGGCCTCACTGAGGTCCCCGTCTTTGCATTGGTGATAATCGATCTGGACTTTTGCTTCGGTACATCTGCATAGAAGGCCCCCCATCCCTCCTGCTTTCGGCCCTCCTAACTTAGTTCCCCTCCCAACGGGTTAGGGATCCTTTTCGGTTACTCAGATTCGGCGGCCAGCGAGGGGAGGGGGAGTGAGAAGGATACTTCCTTCTCAGAAGGCGGTGGGGCTTCTCAGAAGCCCCCCCTGGGCCTTCTCTGAGAGGTTTTCTTTGTCTTCGGGGAAAGGCCGAGAACACTTCTCAGAAGGTCGGGGGGCTTTCGAGCCTTCCGAGAAGGCCCGCCCCCTCTCACTTCCCCCCCGGGCTGGTCGTCGACAGATGGGCGACGCCAAAAAATCGGCGTCGTCTGCGACGACATTGGCGCGTAAGCTGCCCGCGTAAGCTCGCGCATAAGCGCCCTTGTTCCCACTGCAACCTGTCGCGCTGGCGGCCCGCGTAAGCCGCGGTTTAAGTTCGCTGTGCCATCTCGCGGAAGGTCCGTTTTTGATCCTCGCTCAGATGGCGTCGGTCTGTCAGGCCCCATCCCGCGGCAGGGCTGGACCTACACGGTGTTTTGGCCATCTCGTGGGCTGTTCTGTTGCTCGTTTTGTCTTGCATTCAGGGCGAAGCGAAGGCAAAACGCGGAAGAACGAAGCACAGAACGAACACGAAAAGCCCCGTTTAGGTTCAGCCCCACCCCGCGGCGAAAGACTCGACGGGACGATTGTTCGCGCCGAGGTGCTCGGGTCGCTGAGGGCCGGTGCCTCCGTCGGCGAGGCCAGCCTTCGGGAGGGGGGGGCAGAGGCGGAGGGAGGACGGCGAGGAGAGAAAAGGGGCAGGGCCGCAGCAAACACGGGAGTCGGTGGCCACATGTGAACCGGGAGAAGGAGGAGGAGGAGGAGGAGGAGGAGGAGGAGGAGGAGGAGGAGGAGGAGGAGGAGGAGGAGTACCACACGTGCTCCCTTCCCTGAGGTTTTTTGGGAGGTGTCGCGGTGTGTGTCGGAGGGATCTATTGCGGCCCCTGGGAGGGCCAATGTCTGACACCCCCTCTCGAGGATCGTGGCCTCTGAGGGGGGAAGGGAAATCGAGTGCCCCCATTCTTTTGACCCACCGCCTCCAAGATGGCCCCAAGAGGCGCTCTCCCCCCCCCCCCACGATTCCCAAGGGGGGGTCGGGGTTCACTTTGCCCGGGAGGTCCCGAGCGGGGTCAACCCCCACCCCCCCTTAGAAATTGTGGGGGGCGGGGGTAGGGTTCACATGTGGCGCCTAAATCTGAGACGAGCGATGTTGCAGCGCAGTGCAGCGGGACAGCGCACGAAGAAGTCATATGCTTTTCGTCGAGCTTTCCATCTGTGGAGGGTAACTGTGGTTGACACCCCCTCCTCCCAGTGCTCGCACCCTGTTTTCAACAAGGTTGAGTCTTGAGTCTCAGGCTGGGTCCCTGGCCCCCGAGCTACTAAAACAACGGTTCTTACATGGTACTTAATCACGCTCTCGGGTCCTCCGCGCAATCAGCCAGACATCGCGCTCTCGCGTGGGATCCTTTCTCCCAATCTATTGAGGCGTCGCGCCCTCGACACTCAGCCATCACGCTCTCGCGTTGCACCTCCCAACGGTTTACTGGAGGATCTCGCTGTCGCTCGAGACTTCCTCGCGATCCATGCAGGACTGATGCTTCAGCGCCCCGCCCGCTCCACCCGACCGTCTGTGCCCGCCTGCCCGACCCGCCCGTTCGGGTCCCCCCGCCCGACCCGCCCGTCTGGTTCTGCCGCTTGTTTTCGTGCTCCAGGCTTCTCTCCTGCGAATCTCTTTCTTGCTCCATCCTCCTCTCTCCACCTTGTCCGTTCCCTCCTCCCTCTCTTTCCCTGTGTTGGGGGCTGCGCCAACTGCACGTGGCAGGTAAGGTACATGCATGCATGCATGCACGCACGCATGGATGCATGTATGTATGCATGCATGCATGTATGTATGTATGTATGTATGTATGCATGTATGTATGTATGTATGTATGTATGTATGTATGTATGTATGTATGTATATAGGTATGTATGTATGTATGTATGTATGTATGTATGTATGTATGTATGTATGTATGTATGTATGTATGTACGCATGTCTGTATGCATGTATATGTATGTATGTATGCATGCATGCATGCATGTATGCATGCATGCATGCATACATGCATGCATGCATGTATGCATGTATGTATGTATGTATGTATATATGTATGTATGTATGTATGTATGTATGTACGTACGTATGTATATATATGTATATGTAGGTATGTGTGTATGTATGTATGTATGTATGTATGTATGTATGTATGTATGTATGTATGTATGTATGTATGTATGTATGTATGTATGTATGTATATATGTATGTATGTATGTATGTATGTATGTATGTATGTATGTATGTATGTATGTACTCATGTATGCATGCATGCATGCATGCATGTATGTATGTAGGTAGGTAGGTAGGTAGGTAGGTATGTATGTATGTATGTATGTATGTATGTATGTATATGTGTGTGTATGTATGTATGTATGTATGTATTTATGCATATAGGTATGCATGCATGCATGTATGCATGCATGTAAGTATGTATGCATGCATGCATGTATGTATGTATGTGTGTTTGTTTGATTGCATGTATGTATGTATGTATGTATGTATGTATGTATGTATGTATGTATGTATACATACACACTGCCGACGGGAGTACGATCGAAGACGAAACGGGTGAGTATCGCGGGTTGGGATTTGCATGTTGAGTGACACGTGAGCAGATAAGAGCGAACAGTCTTGACCAGGCCTTTGGATTCTCATCTCGAAGCCACAATTATTGTCGATCCCCCTCTCCAGTGTCCACTTGTGTTTTTCTGGTGAAGTGCCCCTTCCAGGCCTCGCGCTCGGTTGTTCATTCTGGAAAGTCTTGGGTTCCGATGGGGCCGTTGTCCCCCGAACTACCACATCAACGGCTCCTGCCTGATGCTGCCTCGCGATTCATTCAAGATCGCGCGGGACTTCCTCACAATCTATGCAGGAAGCGTGCTCTCCTTTGCCCGCCCGCCCGAGCCACGGCCCGAATTGCCAGTTTGGTTCTGCCGCTTGTTATCGTGCTCCTTGCCCCCCTGCTGCTAATCTCTAACGTGCTCCGTCCTTCTCTTCCCCTTATTCCTTCCCTCGTCGTCGTCGTCGTCGTCCGTCGTCGTCCGTCGTCGTCTGTCGTCGTCGTCTGTCGTCGTCGGCTGTCGTCGTCGTCGTCGTCGTCGTTTGCGCGCGGCGAGGGCGGGCTTCAAACCCTCCGGCTTTCGGGGGGGTTGGGGGGGGCCGGCCCAGTTCCCGAGAGGGCGGGGGGATTTTCGAGGGCGGGAGGCGGCTCTCCAGAGTGGGGGAGGCTGGGATTATGTTCTGGTGAGGCGTGCCCGGCCAAACATCCGGCGCTCCAGCTTTTTCGATGCGTGGACCTCTGGAGATCGGGACAGCTTCCCCAGGGTTAAGTCGGGCACGTCCCTCTACAGGAGGAATTTTCCAAAATATGCAACAAGTAGTATGGGGACGTTTTTTCTAGCATTTTTTGGCTATCTTTGAATATTTTGTTGACTAATGGTTTGTTTTTCTTCCAAATCCGCCTGTAGGACGACATGCCCTGCCTAACCTTAGGGCTGGTTTTCCATCCCGAGTCGTTTTGAAAGGTCCCGGGGCCCGTTGAGGGCCCCCGGAGGGCGGAACTGGCCCCAAACCGGCCGCCCTATATTTTTTCGGAGCCTCGGACCTCTGCTGGTCAGGAGACGAGCTCTCAGACACCTACTGTTGATTGTTTTTAGGTCACAGCGGGGATGAGATGGGATGAGAATGGGAGCGGGTCCAGGTGGGTCCAGGGGCTGGGACGAGGGGGGGAAGGAGGGAATGAACGGATGAAGGTGATGCTGCTGCTGCTGTTGCTGCTGCTGCTGATGATGATGATGATGATGCTGACGATGATGATGATGATGATGATGATGATGATGATGATGATGATGATGATGATGATGATGATGATGATGATGATGATGATGATGATGATGATGCTGATGCTGATGCTGATGCTGATGCTGATGCTTCTGATGATGATGCTGATGATGCTGATAGTGAAGATGATGCTGATGATGATGATGCTGCTGATGATGATGACGATGATGATGATGATGATGCTGATGATGATGATGATGATGATGATGATGCTGATGACGAGGATGAGCATAATAATGAGGATAAGGATGGTGATGATGATGGTGATGGTAAATGAGTCATGGTAATGTGATGACGAAAACGACGACGACGATGATGATGAGGAGGAGGAGGGGAGTGGGGAGACAGGGAGACAATATGGACGAAAGCCCCGGCCAGTCGCCGAGAGGCGGACTGGCGCATTTTGTCTGGGGACCTTCGGTCTGTGAGGTACTGCGGGCGCCCTCGCGGTCTCGCTACGCCCGCACGGCAGAGGAGCAGCACGGAGCGACGGCGTGCCACACGGCGTCTCCCGCGCCGTGGTCGCGTGGTGCTGGGCCGCAGAGCGGTGTGCTTCGCGTTGCGTTCACAGCGGGCTTCGTGAGGCCGCGAGTGGGGTACTCATCAGAGGAGGAAGAGGTACTCGTACTGCTACCCTTCTCTCGTTTTACCCTCTTTGGGCCTCCTGGGAGGCAGGCCCTCATCGCCACCGCTGGATTCGCCCCGCAGTCCTGGTTAGAACGCGCCCCGGGAGAGGTCCGGGGAGTGGCGGTATCGGTACGTTTCGGTTTCTCCAACTGAGCATATTGACTGCTGATTGTTAACGGGAAAGCGGTTATTTTCGCACCATTTGGCAATATCGTGCCAGCAGATCAGTGGAGCACCCTTCTCCATTCAGAACTGGCCACATCGGGTCACGCATGTGGGGATACATGCAGTATGGGCAGCGCAAATGTTTGATTTCCATACGTTCAGTGCCAGTGCCCGCTATTGTAACACCTCATGGTGATATCGATTCGCTGGGTGCCCGTTCTAGGCGCAGAGAAAATGACATGACAATGAGTTGTATGACAGCCCATAGTAGAGGAGGAACATACTCCGCATGAAGAGCACGCAGCCCCAACCGCCTCTATCACGCGTCACGAGTCGTAGTCCACGCAACGCGGTTGCGATTGTCAGTGGTGCTAGGATGCCCGCCGCTATTCCGCTTGTGATGGAGCACGCTCCTGGACTCTCTTTTGGCATTCCAGCTCCTTTGATTAGCGCTTGTAAGCGTCGCGGTTGCGCTCTTGGGCGAGAAGTGCTGAGATGGTGCGAGCGTTTTAGATCCCAAACCGAGGTGGCGCTGATGGGCCTGTTTCCGTTGCGGCTGGCCACGCTGCGGGCGACCAAGGCATTGTTCGGGGGTGGGGGATGCGATGTGTCGATGATTGTGGTGGTCATTGTCATCTTACGATTTCATTTGTGCCACTGGCGATCAACACGCCCTCACTCAATGAGCCACCGATCATACAGTGGGGGCCCATGCCAAGAAACACCCTGCTTGCATCCAGGGTGCCGAGGGTTTCTTGGGTTTCGATGATTTTGCGACGGAGAGCGTGACGTGCCCACCCCAAACATCCGTGGACGTCCTGGGGTCTCGGGGTTGGGGCTTGTGGAAGGCTTCTTGTGGTCGGGCCCCCTGCTGCACACACTTGCACGCGTGCGCATGTGCAGCAGAGCCAGCTCGTTGTGCGAACCGGTAGAGGCCGATGCGGGGGGGGGGGGGCGGTGTGGTCCATCTCGGATGCGTCCGGAGGGTCGGCAGGGGCCCCGTGTGCAGCGCTCGGCCCCGCTCGGCCCGCCCTGGGCTAGGTCGAGCACGTCCCTCGACAGGAGGAATATTTCAAAACGTAGGGAAAATTTTTTGACCATTTTTTGATTTTTTGATTTTTTCAGGACCATTTTGGAATATATTGACTGTTTTTAAAATCCCCATGTGGGAGGGCATGCCCGACCTGAGCCTTGGGCATTCTCATTGAAAGGACATCGGGCGGTGGCTGTGCACATGTTCGTTCGGGTGCAACTCCTGGGGGAACACATTCTGACTTTGCCCTGGTCCGAAATCCCGCTCAATCCGGCTTCGTCCCGCTCAATCCTGCTCAATCCCGCTGAATCCGGCCTCATCCCGCCTCATCCGCGGCCCAGTCCTGCGCAGCAGCGCCCCTTTGGGGCTCGGTCCTCTTGAGTCCTTCCGGCGAAGGCCTCCCAGCAGTTGCCTCCTGGCGTTCGGGTCCCCCGGGTCCGCGGCATGTTCGTCTCCGCCGCCCGCGGCGGCCTCAGGACGTCGGCCTCCCGGGCGGCGGATGTGGGGGACGTCCCCGCCCTGCGCCTCGCAGACCTGAGCCTACGCCTCGAGCCGCAATCAGAGGCCCTCGGTCTCGCTCGGACGTGTGCCTTCTTCTCCTCTCTCGGCGAGGACCGCCGAGGAACACTTGGGATCCTCGGGCGGCAGAAACACACACACACACACGCCACGCACGAGGCCGCAAAACGTGCCCAGGGGATGGGCGTCCGAGCGGTGGCCAGGGCCACGACCAGCCTCTGGCTCGGGAGGCGGGCCTCTGCGGCACCGACGGAGCTTACTCGGTGGAAAGCGTCGGCTCCGAGGCAGCTCCGAGGCGCGATCTTCTTTAGACTCCGCGCGGAGGAGGAGGAGGAGGAGGAGGAGCCCCTGAGCCTACCCCCCCCTAAGGTTGCCCCTGATCCCCCCTCTTTCCGCTGCACGCGTGAGTGACCCGAGACAAGAGCGTCCTCTGCTCGACTCACGGCGCGACCATCGACGCGTCTTCTCATCGAAGACGCTTGGGCCTGCAACCGCCACCCCATGCCTTTTCGAAACACCTGCGTGGCCCAACACGCTGAGCTGGAGTCTGGCCGAGCTAATGGCCTGTGTGATTCCCCAGCCGATGTGGAAGCCCTCTGTGGACCCCCTGTGGGAGGAAGAGCCACATGTAGATGTACGCGCATTGGTATAGACATCTACACATCAAGACAGTGAGAGAGTGAGGAGGGACAAGTGCGTGGGCGTGTGGTATATATACATATATATATGTATATATATATATATATATATATATATTTATATGTATATATATATATGTATATATATGTGTATATATATATAGATCAGAAAGAAAGGACCGAACGGTCATTCATTGTCCCTGGGTGCGTGGCTGAAGTGAGAATCCGTAGTGAGGACTATGCTTGTTGCGTTGTTGTTGATGTTGCTGTTGCTGCTGCTGTTGCTGTTGCTGTTACTGTTGTTGTTGTTGTTGTTGTTGTTGTTGTTGTTGTTGTTGTTGTTGTTGTTGTTGTTGTTGTTAATGTTTTTATTGTTGTTGTTGTTAATGCTGCTGCTGCTGTTGTTGTTGTGGTTGTTGTTGTTGGTGTTAGTGTTGTTGTTGTTGTTGTTGTTGTTGTTGTTGCTGCTGCTGCTGCTGCTGCTGCTGCTGCTGCTGCTGCTGCTGCTGTTGTTGTTGTTGTTGTTGTTGGTGGTGGTGGTGGCGGTGGTGGTGGTGTTGTTGAATGATTTCTGAAGAATAATTATTGTTGATCTCCGGAAACGGTTCCGTGCGCTCTTGCCTCGACGCCGGCTACATTTTCTCTGAAAACAAGGCTCCCGCTCGAGCGTTGGCTTGACCCTAGATGTGGGCCCTTGGAGGCCCAGCTACGACAACAACGGCTCCCGCCCGATACTTCCTCACGATTTACTCTGCGACACTCTGGCCAGAGAGGCCCCGGACTCAGGAACGGCGCTCTCGCTCGAGACTTCCTCGCAATTCAATCAAATTGGCGGAGGCCCAGCCACAACGACAAGGGCTCCTGCTCGATATTGCCTCACAATTTACCCCGAGACACCCTGGCCAGAGACGCCCCCGAGCTTAGGAACGGCGCTCTTGCTCGAGACTTTCTCGCAATTCAATCAAGTTGGCGGAGGCCCAGCCACGACGACAAGGGCTCCTGCTCGATACTTCCTCACGATTCACTTCGAGAGCCCCTGGCCAAGAAGCCCCCCGAGCTCATGAACGGCGCTCTCGCTCGAGATATTCTTGTAATTCAGGCAAGTTGGTGGAGGCCTGGACACGGCGACAAGGGTTTCCGTTCGATCTTTCTCCACAGGTATTCCGAGAGCCCCTGGCCAGAGAGGCCCCCGAACTCAGGAACGGCGCTCTCGCTCGAGACTTCCTCGCACTTCAGTCAGTGGCCGACAATGAAAATATTCCCCCCGAAAGGGGGTACAATCGAAGACGAAGTGGGCGGGTATCGAGGGTTGGGGTATACAGAATGCAAGACACGCGTGCCAGTAAGAGCGAACAGTCTTAACATGATTGTTGTTGTTGTCGTTGTTGTTGTCGTTGTCGTCGTTGTCGTTGTCGTTGTCGTTGTCATTGTTGTCGTTGTCGTTGTCGTTGTCGTTGTTGTTGTTGTTGTCGTTGTTGTTGCTGTTGCTGTTGCTGTTGTTGTTGTTGCTGTTGTTGTGGTGGTGGTGGTGGTGATGGTGTTGTTGTTGAATGGTTTCTGAAGAATAATTATTGTTGATCTCCGGAAACGGTTCCGTGCGCTCTCGCCTCGACGCCGGCTACATTTTCTCTGAAAACGAGGCTCCCGCTCGAGCGTTGGCTTGACCCTAGATGTGGGCCCTTGGAGGCCCAGCTACGACAACAACGGCTCCCGCCCGATACTTCCTCACGATTTACTCTGCGAAATTCTGGCCAGAGAGGCCCCGAACTCAGGAACGGCGCTCTCGCTCGAGACTTCCTCGCAATTCAATCAAATTGGCGGAGGCCCAGCCACAACGACAAGGGCTCCTGCTCGATACTGCCTCACACTTTACCCCGAGACACCCTGGCCAGAGACGCCCCCGAGCTTAGGAACGGCGCTCTTGCTTGAGACTTTCTCGCAATTCAATCAAGTTGGCGGAGGCCCAGCCACGACGACAAGGGCTCCTGCTCGATACTTCCTCACGATTCACTTCGAGAGCCCCTGGCCAAGAAGCCCCCCGAGCTCATGAATGGCGCTCTCGCTCGAGATATTCTTGTAATTCAGGCAAGTTGGTGGAGGCCTGGACACGGCGACAAGGGTTTCCGTTCGATCTTTCTCCACAGGTATTCCGAGAGCCCCTGGCCAGAGAGGCCCCCGAATTCAGGAACGGCGCTCTCGCTCGAGACTTCCTCGCACTTCAGTCAGTGGCCGACAATGAAAATATTCCCCCCGAAAGGGGGCACAATCGAAGACGAAGTGGGCGGGTATCGAGGGTTGGGGTATACGGAATGCAAGACACGCGTGCCAGTAAGAGCGAACAGTCTTAACATGATTGTTGTTGTTGTTGTCGTTGTTGTTGTTGTCGTTGTCATTGTCGTCGTTGTCGTTGTTGTCGTTGTCGTTGTCGTTGTCATTGTTGTCGTTGTCGTTGTTGTTGTTGCTGTTGGTTGCTGTTGTTGTGGTTGGTGCTGTTGTTGTTGGTGGTGTTGTTGTTGTTACTTGCGACGCTTGCTGGCGCCGGTATACACGGAGTAATCGAACTCGATTACCCCGTGTATCCGATACACGGAGTAATCGAGTGTGATTACTCCGTGTATCGGATACACGGAGTAATCATCGAGTTCGATTGTTCCGTGTGTCCAATATAGAGGTTCCGGTAGGAATCCTATAAGAATTTGCTTCGGATGCACGGAGTAATCGAGTCCGATTATTCCGTGTATCCCATATGCAGGTTCCAAGAGGAATCCAATTAGAATCTGCTTCGGATACACGGAGTAATCGAGTGCGATTACTCCGTGTATCCAATATGCTGGTTCCAGTAGGAATCCAATTAGAATCTGCCTCGGATACACGGAGTAATCGAGTGCGATTACTCCGTGTATCCAATATGCAGGTTCCAACAGACAGTAGGAGTCCAATTAGAATCTGCCTCGGGTACACGGAGTAATCGAGTGCGATCGCTCCGTGTATCCAATATACAGTTTCCAATATGAATCCAATTAGAATCTGCCTCGGATACACGAAGTAATCGAGTGCGATTATTCCGTATATCCGATATGCAGGTTCCAATAGGAATGCAAGTATAATCTGCCTCGGATACACGGAGTGATCGAGTGCGATTACTCCGTGTATCCCATATGCAGGTTCCAGCAGGAATCCGAGTAGAATCTGCCTCGGATACACGGAGTAATCGAGGTCGTTTACTCCGTGTATCCAATATGCAGGTTCTTCCAATAGGCATCTAATTCGAATCTGCCTCGGATACATGGAGTAATCGAGTGCGACTACTCCGTGTATCCGATATGCAGGTTCCAAGAGGAATAGAATTATAATCTGCCTCGGATACACGGAGTAATCGAAGTCGTCTAC